TCAATATATTGTTCTTGGGATAGAAAAATACTATCGCCCTTCCTTATGATTTTAACTCCCAAAATCACATTAGTTTCACCCATATCTTTCATTCACTATAAGAAAATCGCATATTTCCGATGGATTTTTACTGATGGATTTGTGGTCGTCGGAAAATGAGTCATTACCGATGGAAATTATCGACGGATATAGAATTTGGTCTTACTGACGGATATATCCGTCGGTAAATTAACAATTAATTACCGATGGATATATTTGTCAGTAAATTCGTCGGTAAATTAACAATTAATAACCGACGGATATATCTGTCGGTAAATCCGTCGATAAATTAACAATTATTTACCGACGGATATTTTCGTCGGTAAATCCATCAGTAAATTAACGGATATTTTACTTCTCCTCAAATCCTCATATATTTTATCACTATTAATCTCTATAGATTGTTTAGGTATCTGACTAACCTTTAGAGGAAAAATATGTTCAAAGAACTCAACATTTTTTGTCTCCACTATAGCATTATGCTTAATTACATCACTTTTGAAAACAAGAAACCTATAGGCAGCACTATGTTTTGAATAGCCTAAGAACATACAATCAGAATTTTTAGAACCTATTTTCCTTTTATTATGATTGGGTAACATTACCTTAGCTAGACACCCCCACACTCTTAAATATTTAAGATTAGGTTTATAACCTCTCCATAACTCATAGGAAATTTTACCAGTTTTCTTAACAAAAACACTGTAAGTATATATTCTCTTATTTGGTGCACTAGAGTTGTTTGATTAAGTATACTTTGGTGTATGTATAGTAGTCATCTATAAATGTCACATATCACATGAATCAATAATATAAGCAGAAGAACAAAATTTATTAACAATATCCCTTCCCTACAAGGACATTATTTTTTTTTTCATAACAATCTTATCAGATTCAAATGACACTTTAACCCCAACTTTTCCTAACAGTGCTACAAATATTAGATTAGATTAACTCTGATTAATGACACATGTAACACATCATTCAAGGTCAGAGTCTTTCTAGATGTGAGTTTTAGAAGAACTTTTCTTTTTCCTAAGACAGGAGTTGTCCTGTAATCACCGAGATAAATGTGTTTTTTTCCATCCCCACACTAGTGTAGGAGGGAAAAGCACTTCTGTTTGCACAGATGTGTCTGGTAGCACTAGAGTCTACCACTCATTTGCTCACATTTGTCACAAGGTTTATTTGGGAAATGACCGCAATAATTGTATCTTCTCCTTTGGCTAAATTTTCCTTAGGAGGATTATCATTTCTCATTCCACGTCTAATGATGACCTTACTTTCCACAAAAAGCAATTTTCTTTCTTGAACGTAAAGTGGGGTTAGATCCACTGGTTTCATACAGTCTCAACCCTTTCTTATATGTATGTACAAAATAATATGTGAACAAAATAATATTCTACTTATACGTATGTATAAAATAAAATAATACGTAGATCTAAGTCATACACACGTAACTGTTAATTGTTCACTACCAAAACAAATATCTCATAACATATAATACTCATGCATAATTCATATACTCATGAAGTATAATTCATTTTTATTGTTTCATTGGTGTAATAAATCCGAAAAAGGAACCTGTGTTTGACACGTGTGCTCTATGGACAAGCTGCATGATGTATGCTGATAGCATTTGATCTAAAAGTTTACCTTTCTTTCATCATAATTATAACATGCAGTAATCAATTTCACATATGATTTAACTTTAACCCAATCACGTAATTTGTTTTTTCAATTAAAATCAATTACAGGGTCAGTCACATTTCAATAAGAGTTACATTGTCATTCAGATAGGGGCTATGAAATTAATTTCAATTTGAAATTGATTGCAGCTTAAAACATATATTAGGATTTATTCCTTTATTGAATTTTTGGAAAAACATAATTTAAAAATTATCACAAGAGAAAAATCATAAATCTAATAAGTATAGCTCTGATACCACATGTATTTTAATTTGTAGTTTTTATGCGTTACTAATTTTATAAAACTACTCTTCACGTTTAGATTTTTTATTCTCACATAATAGCATACATGAATCATAATCATATAATAACATACATGAATTGATTCTCACATAATAACATACATGAATCATAATCAGAAGACTAACATTGATCCATGAGCACTTCATAATTTCCTTTCTTTCATTATCCAATATTCTAAAATTGTTGAATGAAGTTGTTGATGTTCGTACTGTCAGCCATAAGTCCTTAAAATTGTTGTAATATCTGACAGAGATACGAACAAACTTTATTCCTAAGGCGTGTATAATCACTGCCCTTAAGGACCTATCCGCGGTGTATTGCGTAAGTCCCCCAGGATACAACAGGAACTTCTCGGAATACCCAAGAATCTCAGAAACTAGCAAGAAACTCTCAAAAGAGTACATTAACTGATCAGGATCACAGAAAGAAGATCAGAGAAGAGAAGATGAGAGAGGTGTGTTCTGAAGAGTGTGAAGTGGTCTCTATTTATAAGAGAAAGTCTGTAACAGTTATGGAAGACTTGGTAGTGGGTCTGTAACGTTCTCTGTAACGTTAATGTTCTCTGTAACATTCTCTGAAACAGTCTTCTGCAACGTTCTCTGAAACAGTCTTCTGCAAAGTATGAGAACAGGTTCACAGCAACGTGTGAGAACAGGTTCTCTGAAACGTGTGAGAACACGTTCTCTGAAACAGTTTTCTGCAACGTGTGAAAACACGTTCTCTGGAACGGTTTTCTGCAACGTGTGAAAACACGTTCTCTGTCTTGCAATACCCCTTAATTTACAACAAATTTTCACGGTTCCTTGATATGTAGTGATTGAGTTTTTATAATGATTTAGTACCTTTTTTTGGAATTATATTTATTTATACACGTGGTGAACTTTTTAAACGTATACCATAATTTTATGTTATGTAATATTTTACTTTAGATTTTAATAATTATTTAGTTATTAAAAGCGTTAATTTTTAAAATTGTTGATGATAGGTGAATTTGTATGCGTGTCACAATTTTTTTAGTATTACTTTAATTTTTGTTTGTTTTAAAAACTAAAAATAGAAAAATTGACTTTTTCATTTTAAATATTTTGTGGAATATAGTATATTCGTATATTACTATTATTTAGATTGTTTCAATTCTTTTTAACAACAGTTTAATTTTAACTTTTTAAAATAAAAAAGCATATAAGTACTTATAGCAATAAGTTATAAACACTTGGAAGTTATATATATAACCACTGATGAACATGTACGCCAAAGAATTTAAACATGTTGTAATTATAATGATTGTAGCTAAAGCCATTTCTGGAAAAGTTAAAATTTAAACTTGGAACATGTACATTGAAATTAAGTTCATTTAGAGAGTCATAGTTCTCTGTAATACCCTAATTAATATTATTATACACATAATTGAAAGACTGAAAAAAAAAAACACATGCACATCCCTATCAACAAAAAGAAGAACCTGATAACCTGTAACAGCCACTTTGTATTTATGTAATAATTAATTGAAGCATATAGAAAATGCGTCCATCACTCAAACTATTGTCTATTTCTGACCATGTGATTCAGTAGTTTACTCAAATTGATCAAAGTCATTCGATTTAATTAGAGATAATTACAGGCAACTAAATGCACTTTGTATTCACATGCAGAGTTTTCTATATCAGACACTTACTTTGTTAATTAAGCTCTATATATGATTATATATCATCATAAGTATATATATATATATATATATATATATATATATATATATATATATATGTTGTCATTCGCAAATCTTAGCCATGTTCATACGCATGCAAGCAAATTCTAAAGGAGATATATAGTAGAAACAAAATATACGTTTTGTGTTGGGTGGTGAATATTAAAAACATAAGATACAAGAGTGATAGGTTTAAGGAATGAGTGAAGATTTAAGAGCATAGAAGAGATGAATGGTGTCATTAATTATTGAATATATGTAGCTTCATTCTGACATCATTGTTCAAATTATTCAGTGAAGAGAATCTTCTGAGGAAAGGAAACAAAACTCCTAAACTTCACTGCACACAGATATGTATATTATTCTCCATTGTTATAAATAAGGATATGTACGTAATCCAAACCAAGAGTTATGATTATTCCTCGGCCACTGGTCAACAATATCCTAACAAACCTTTTCCCTCACGCTATACCATCAATACAAGCAAATATCATACTCATATTCAGCAGCAATCAATACAGCTATAAAGTACAGATACCTTTTTTAAACATAAAGGTATGTTAATGTAATTTTTAAATAATACAAAAGAAGAACATAAAGTGTTTAAAATCTGTTGTGAAATAATTAGAGACTAAATTCAATAAGTCAGTTTTATATCAGTTCCCGTATGAATCCATGTAAAACATTTTCCTTTTAACACCATATATGATGTTTTAGAAGCAGTACATTGGTGTTTTTGCTGTAAGTTTCTATAATTTATTGTAGATGACAATTTGGAATTAAATAATAGAACGAAAACTGCTTATTCATATTTATAATAAAACAACACGTTATTTTCAACGTATGGGAGGTTACTTTCAACGTAACTTGGTGAAACAACACTATATTTTTTTACGACATTGGAAAATGGAAAATACCTGTTAAACCAGTATTGAATGGATTTCTAATCACAGCTTCGATTAGTGTCTTAAGTTACACTCAAAATAGGTACTTTTTCTTTCAAATATAATTTTAATAGTATCGAAATGTATTCAAAGCGTATAGCGAAAGAAGAAGAAAAAAGTGCATGCATATATCCATAAATAATAAGATACGGGTGCGTTTCAAGAAAAATATATAATACTTCATCAACCTCTTACACTTGAATCCTTTTCCCTTGTTTTGTCCCCTGGTACATTAATAATCATTAACATACATAATATCATGCACGTACCGCTCCTAATAATTTCTTAATTAGCCACTAAATCATCAGTGATTAGTGGTTTCATGAATGTTGAAGGTGGATCGAATCAACGGCATGCCCATGAATTCTGTCGTTGAATTCGATTCCAGGAGGCACGTTCATGAAGGTAGAACCGTGCAATGTAATTGGCACAAAAGGCCAATCACTGTTAGGAGCAGCACCATTAATACAATCAATTTGTGGTGGAGTTGATTGAAGCAACCTGATTTGCCTCTTCAAGAACTTGACATAGCGAATGGCTTCATCAAGCATGGAAGCAGTGTCCATTTTGGTGCCACCAGGGACAAGTCTTTGGAGGATACGGATTTTCTCACTGATCCTCTCTCTTCTGTGGCGTGCAGCCACACTCTGAGGGTCATCGCTTATGCGCACGTTTCGCCTCTTTGGTTTTCTGACCGTGGCAGGGTCTATGTCCACCGGTTGCATCGCTGCCATTTGGTACATCATCTCCTTCATCGCTCCAAGCTCTTCCTCTTCCTCTTCTTCAAACTGAATCCCTAACACCTCCGTTAGGAAATTACTAGTTGAAGAAGAGGAAGAGGGTTGCGTGTGAAAGGGGTGGTGGTGATTGGACCAAATTCCAACACCCATTGGAATTTGGTGATGATGATCGTGGAGGATGATGTTCTGTTGATCTGTTGCCATGGTCTCGTGATTGCAAGTGGTGTTAACGTTTGTGAATGTATTGTTTAGGTTGTTATCCATGTGGGCATGCACAAAATATGGAGCTATGGTTGTGTTGAAGTTTGCAATGTGTTGGTGTTTTTAAGGTTAAGAGGATAAAAGTCTAAAAGGGTTTGAAAAAAGGAATGAGAAAATGGCTAGAAAAGTACACCAGAACGATATCTCGGCGCATAAAAGGGTGCTAGTTGTGTGTAACAAGGTAGCTTTGAATGAGTTAACTTGGTAGCTTGTTGTTTTCTCCTCCCTCACTCACAACATTCAACAATGCTTCCAAACAGGGAAACTATTTGAAGAGTTTTCATGGAAACGAGAGTGGCTGCAAAAAGCAGAGAGATGAACAATAATGAATAAAAAGCGAAGGTGGAGTTGCATCATTTCATGTCAAAGGGATTGAACACAATGTTGATGAATCCAATTACAAGGGTTGTGGTAAAGGAAGAGCTAGAAAGAAACGAGATTATTACTAAAAGTATTTATAATTCTCTAATATGTTGTTTATCTCTCTTATTTAGTACTTTGAATTTCATATATTACTATGTTGATTTATTTTCTCGTAATTAGGACATAATTGAAAGTTAGAAGTTATTCTTTGGTTTTAAAAATAACAAACGAATAAAAATATTTTTTTTCTTCAAACAAGTAATACAAGAAGTAGCGAATAAATCCAAAAATTAACAAAAAGAATATGTAAGAGACTTTTGCATATTTTCAAAAAGCGTTTTAGAATATGCACCTATTAAAAACTGAAAGTAATGATAAAATGTTTGTTCATTATCCAACGTTTATTATTTTCGTAAGAAAGAAACCGTATCATACCACGTTTCATAATAGAGGAGATGAGGTGTGTGATTCAGAAAACAAACGTTACAAACATCAAACATGATGGTTAGAATATTTTTTTTAATCTATGTATTTTTTTCATAAATTCAGAAATAAAATTGTAAATAAAATTGGTTTCATGGTTAGAAAATTTTTTAGGTTACTAGGGATAAGTATAGTTTTTTTATCTGTGTATTCTTTTCATAAATTTAGAAAAAAAAATTGTGTAAATAATAAAATTGGTTCCATGGTTAGAAAATTTGTGAGGTTACTAGGGATAAGTATGATTTTTTATCTGTGTATTCTTTTCATAAATTTATCTTTTATCTTTAAATTTTAATTTAATCAATTTTTGTTTTTCAATTTTTAAAAATATATGTTTTTTAGTTTTCTTAATTTAAATTTAATATTTAATTATGATTTTTCAACTTAACAATTAATAAAAACTTAAATATGATATTAGTAGTTCTTTATACTTAAATTGTTATTTGAAAGTATTTGTTCATTGTTTATAAAGTAAATTAATGAATTAGATTCTTGTTTATTTTAAAATTAAAAAATAATTTATTAACTTGTAAAATATAAGAATCATAACTAATTTTCACAAGAACTATATAAAAAAAATATATTTATTGCTTTCACTATCATTTTCTATATATAAAATATTTTCAAATAATATGTTGTTCTTCAATGAGATTGACATAATAAATCGTTTATTATAACAGTTAAATTCAATCTAATACAGTATGTATTTATTATGATGAAACAAAATTTGAGCATTATAGTGAATTTTTATATTTACAAAACTATATCTTGTCACTTCCTACAATGGATAGACTATAATTATTATTATTTGATCACTATCTTTGTATCTACTAATATTTCTCGAGTCCCAAATAGTGATGATTGGCAAGATTGAATATTGTTTTTATTAAAGAAAGATTAACATATGTATCACTTATAATTATCTCTTCATTTTAGGTTAAAATTTAACCTAGAATAATATCTTAAGTTGAAATTTAACATAAACTAAAGTTGATAAGGAAAATTCTACCATCACTTACCTTAATATGAAAGTAAATTTCTCTTTTATCAATAAGAACCTAACACAAAATTTATAACAATTCACTATAGTTAATCAATTAACTGAGATAGATTTCCTTAACCCTTTAAAGTAAGGTATTAAACAAATCAAATAGCAATATATCCATTAACGTACTCTTGCGAAAAACTGTGACAAAAACTAAAACACAACAATGACATTGATGAACAATCAGGCAAGTTTAGACTATAGCTACCTATACTAGATACATGTAGTAGGGGGGAGAAAAATAATATTCCAAGGTTCAATTCATGAACAGAAACCAAGTTATTAGTAATAACCATAAGTCACTTTGAAGAGTTATATGTATGGAAGAACATATTTACGAGGAGGATAATATTGGGTGAGATCTGACACCAACACATGCATTCACTTTACCACCACCATGCTAAAGAGAGTTAAAAGGATGTCATGTAATTCAACTCCATCTCTCCAAATGGCCTCCTCAGAGTCAGGACTATGGTGACGAATTCCAAACTTCCATTTCCGGTAAAAGTGGGGGAAAAGTGTTTCTACTCTTGCTGGATCTCAGAATGGCCACTGGAAAGCTCTTCCATCTCAACTATTTTTCTTCTGCTTTTGGGTAGTTAGATGATTTGCGTTGGAATTCTAAATTGATGGCGCTCCTTTAAAATAATTTGGCTAAAAACTAATAAGTAAAAAATATATAGTATCATCAATATTCTTTCTTTTTCCCTTTTCATTACTTAGATCACAGTATAATATTCAACAAATAAAACTTGTTTTATGTTCTTCCTACCAATTATGTAAAGAAATTTACCTAAATGAAGAATGAAAAGCCAATTTCTTATATCATCCACCTTTATTTATCCATTCATCTTCAGTTTAGAGGTATGTGAAGTGTTATATGTGGAGGTGTAGCTGGCCAACTGCCTGGGATTATCCAGTAATAATGACTTATAACTTTCCTAAAGTTGTTGCTCTAAGGATAATAGTCGAATTTGTTGAACAAATACCAATTCGTTACTGGTATAAGAATTAAAACACACACACACACACACAATCACAAATACATATATATAGAAACACTCCTCTAAAGATAGTTAGGTCTTTTATCGAAAATTAATTAGAAAACAAACTTAATGGATATAAGATTATTATATATAAAAATATATACATATCTTTAAACTATCGGTTTTTACTCGAATATAACAAGAAAAGACCTTATCAAAAGTTAAAAATGGATAAATTTTATTATGGACATAAAAGGCAATGGAACATTCCCTTAAACTGCTAAATATTGTGGATTATTTCTGTTTTCCTTGTACCTGCAATGCGTACCACAATATTATTTTATAATTAAAACTTATAATAAATAGTTTAAATTATTTATTTGTGTGTATATATTAACAAATGAATCAATAAAAGTAAAAAAATAAAATAAAAAGACAACCCTTAAAAACAGTTGAGAGGACTTTTTACGAAGAAAATGTGTGTTGCTCGGGCAAAATGAATAAAGGATAGCAGGTATCTGATGAGGACAATGAAAATTCATACATATATTAATTAATTTATAATATAAAATAAATCACTTTTATTTAGAACATCTTTAATAGGAATTATTACCAAAAATTAGTTAAAAATAAATATAAATATTTTATTATAAGTTCTAAGTGTATGAATTACTTAAAAATAGATAAAATCATTTAAAATTAAAAAAAATTACTTGAATAACCATATTTTAAACCACTTAACTGTAAAACTCATATTTAAATATTTAATTTTATTTTTAAATAATTCTAATTAAAAACTCTTAATATTTTTCTCTTTGGAGTGTATGTCTATTGGTCGAAAGCTCGTGAGGCCAACATGTCCCATACCTATCCTATATAACACGTGAAAAAGAAAATATTCTTCCCGTCCAGTGAATTGTTAAGATCTAATAAATTACTAGAGCTTGGCCAAGTGAATTGTTTGATCACGCTGAAGCGTTGACCCCTTTAGGAATTATAGGACCAGGGACTCAGAAAATGGTTGAAGCTCATTCATCATAAATGACAGTTATTAGATTTAATTCAACTCTACATTACTTCAAATTTAAGCAATGTTACAGAACTTGGGGGGAGGGATCCAGATTTGAAAAGGTAATATCAATTAAACAAGGACAATCCCTCAATTTATCTTCATAAGCAATTAGACAACTAGTCATTTTCGTCATACTTTTGGGTAGTACCATGCACGCACGCAAACTACATAAATCAGAAATTATAGTTCGAGATGTAGGGCAGTGAAACCACCATCGTCCAGTTCGAAATAATCAACCATGGGACTTTAGCATCTTACGGTTCCACCTCTTTCTCACTACTGTTCTGAAAAGCAAACATCTGTCTCCTGTAATTACATTAAACCAGTAAAATAAATTGAATCCCACGTAACTCTAACTATTGAGTTGCGAACCAACGTCTTATGGCACAAACACCCAATATTTTTCCCCGCAGAAACGAAGAAAATAAAATTAAAGGCCCAAAAAATGCTCCCAGATGTGTACGTAAGAGCTGCAAAGGAGCTAAAGTACGCAAACAAGTCAGAGGTAGAGGATGCAGTATACAAATTGAAGACAACATTTCTGAGTCAAATATAAACGATAGAGTTGGCAGTCAAACTAATATAATTGCACTAAGCCTTCTGAACCTTTTCCACATACGCCTGCAAACAGAAAAAGAAGAATTGTGAGACCAATTGTGAAAGTCACAGCTAAACAAATTGTCATGAGGCAGACGTAGACTCGGACCAACATAGAGCGTCGCGCATGATAGCATAACTAGACCATCAGCAACAATCGTGATCAAACAGAGTTCAGAATCGTACAGAGATCAATTAAATTGCAACAGTCTGATGAATTCAGGAAGGCTTTGATGGATGGACGTAAAGCTTAATTTCAGATACTTGTTCATTCTTAATAGAGAAAATAAAAGACCATTAAATTTATTAGATTGACAAAAAAATTATTAGACAGTATCATTAATAATGAAATATCGCTACACATGTCCTTCTGGAACATTTCTGAGCTAAAATCTCATATTTCTTTAGCAACTTCCGATAAACATCCAAGCCTTCCAGGAAATTCAATGATTAGTTCATCAACATTCGCTTTCATCTACAGAAGTAAAATGGGAAGACTGGAATCCTTCAAAAACATAACAGGAATGTGTAAGCTAACCACCACTAACCTGTACAAGTTTGTTAAGCTTTGGTTTTGAAAATGACAAATAGTTGTCAATTTTCTCCTGTGTCTGAGGAATATTGGCCCCCTGCATGGAACCGGTTACTTTATCTACGACTTTCTTCACAATTGTTTTATAATCTTCTTTGGTGATTTGACCTTCTTTCCATGTTGGTTTCAGAAGCTCCTTAACAAACTCAACCAGTGCAAATTTAAATGCACGAATCCCCTTCAAATCCTTTGTTTTCCTGGCCTCATCAGGACCTCCAGTTTGCTCCACGTTTTCCAGAGGACCATTCTCTTTGGTACTTTTGGCGTCATCTCGAGCTTTGCATCTTTCCCCAGGTAACACTTCCTTATTATTATCCTTATCAACCCCCGTGCTTTGACCTGATTGCAACTGGATTAGAGGATCACTCTTGACAAGTTCTTCTGAGCGAGCAGCCTTAGAAGAATCACCATGATTTTGTCTTGCACTGTTGGACAACTGTGATGGAATTTCAACTACATCTTCTGCAACTTTGGTACTTGGAGGAATGGATGGGAGTACCCCACTTGCAACAGCACTCTTTGGCTCAACACTATCACACATTGGATCATACTGCTTTGGGAGTCCAAGAACAGGATCTGGCCTCATGATCGTATTGGAAACAGGCACAGCAGGCACCTCAGCCTTTGCTAGGGAGGATGTGTCCTTTACATAGTGAGAATTTAAAGCAGCATAAAGTTGTGGCAGCTGTTGCCCTGACCCAAGGATATGGGCAAGCGAGGCTGAGAGATTGGTAAGCTGCGCAAGTTGTTCTTGGCCAACAACGTTCTCAGTTGGAGGAGGATTTCTTGAACTAGCTTGTGATAAGCTTGCATCCATGATATTTGGTTCAGAAGTGTATTTCTTCTCAGTAGAGACTTCCTGGTTCGGCATTCCATCAATAATTCCTCCCTTTGAAGGTAGAACTGGAACTGGTAATTGACTTTGTCCAACTGCCTGGCGGCTTGAAGAATGCAAAGGATTCAAACTCTCAGTATTCTGATTAATGCTTTGTCCTGAAACAAACATAAGTTGAAAAGTTTGAATCTATGCATGAGTCAGTAGATTTGTTTGTCACATTTATCATCAAATGTCAATGAAATAATATCATACAATTTTATATTTTGAGTTTCACTAGCATGGTAAAAGATTTTCAATTTACAAGGAATCAAATGAACAACAAATAGAAGAGCACCTGAAGCAATTTGTATTCTGTCATGTTCAGACGTGGGTAAATATGTACCACCTTGTGTTATCCCACGCTTATTTTGTTCATGTTTTTCTTCAATACTGCTGGAGGATCCCACCCTGTAATGCCAATCAGGAGACATTTTGGTATCACCTAACCAGATATCAGTACCTATTGACTGGGAAACATGCATGTTGGCTGCAGCATTTCCTGATATCCAACTGTCAGCTTCCTTCTTATCACTTGGAAAGGGCTGCTCGCCATGCACTCTGCTCTTATCCAAACTATGACTCCATCCATACCTTGTAGGTAAAGGAGTGAATCCTGGCTCTGCAGCACCCACATTTTCACTTTTGTCCTCAACCAGCTTTGCTGAATCAGAGACAGCAACTGTATCATTCCACTTTGGACTCTCCCAAACTTTATCTGCATCAGCCTTGTTACCATCAGAACCCCACCTATCATCCCTTGGCCTTCTATTAGGACTATCTGAATCACTGAATTTCGATCTATCCAGTCTATGGTGATCTCCCCCTGGATTGCTTGTCCACCTATCATCTCTTAATCTTCTATTAGGACTCCTACATGCTTGCCTATCATGAGAAAATCTACAATACTTACCATTTCGACAATTTCCATTAGCAAAAAATTTGCAAAGAGTATCACCACTTCGGTTTGGCCCATGCCCGCCACCCTGCTCAAATGAAGTATCTCTGTGCCTTCTATCAATTTCCTTCTCTCTAGTTAATTCATCCCCAGAAACTTTACCATGTCCATCAGAATTCTCATGATGCACAAACTTGCATGATGCTCCCATTCTACACCTGCCTTTTGCAAAATTAGTACAAGCTTCATTAGATCTGCCACTTTTAAGAGAATAGTCTCTACCCTCATGGGGAGTAGAATATCTAGGAGCTCCATCTTCCCTGCACTTATTTTCCCAACTATCTTCATGGTTTTGATTATCATGATGAAGAAAATGGCAATGGCTGCCTCTTCTGCATTTACCAGCTGCAAAATCTCTACATGGTTGAGTAGATCCTCCAGCCCGCATTCTGTTTCTGTCATTGACTCCTGAATCCCACTTAAAACCATGAGGAGGGCTCCTGCTTCGACTCCTAGTAATTGGCATATCCAAAGGTAGACAATTAACAAAAAAATCGGCAGCTAGAAATATTATGCAACACAACAACAATGATGCACCGTATTATCACTAATATCATATAATGAAATTTATTAGGGAGAGAGTGAATACTTGAAAATAAAGACTAACTTTTTTGTCTATTATCTAAAATAGAAAGGGGTCAGTAGAAAGTTCCAGGATGAGCTAGAAATTAAAGCAACTAATAAGAAACAAGCTCTTTATAATACAAATATTGGATGCGTATCTAAAACAAAAGAACAGAAAATGGTATAAGAAAAAAGCCAGAGTGACCCGTTGTACCAAAAGCACTTCCATAAAAACTTCAAACTACATCTTCTAGTCCAGAAGAAAAAATAATAACTAAAGACTATTAGATATTGCATATAAATAGTCGGGATTAGAGATAAACTAGATGTCAAAAAATGGCAAATGATGCATTACCAAGTGGTCATGATTGTTTGCATCATGTGTCTAATCAATAAAACAAAGTTTAAGGGAAAAATGTTCAAGAATTCAAGACATGATTGACATGTCTTTGCTATCTACATAGTGAAATATTATTTTATCCCAACAACACTGCTGAGGAGGGCTCAGGGGTGTCACAGCATTCTCCCAAGTGTATACAGCTCCTACATTAAAGCACAGTGCTTCAGAGGACATGACAAACATATATTATATTGTAGGACCTTTTGAACATATGCAATTTATAATATACACAACCAAGCTTATTTACAGTATGCTTGCACAACAAACCATTAGATGAACACTTAAATATAAAGTTTCAATCAATATTCAGATAATAGAATCAGCAGAGACACACCAAGTAGAGAAACAAACCTGACTGACCTGCTCCAACCATTTTGAGGGGATTGACTATGTCTCTTATGCTTCCATTCCTCAGATCCAGGAGACATTTTCTTGCTGTAGTTTCCATCCTCATCCCATTCCATTGATGCATCCAAACCTACGTAGTCTTTATTCATAACATCTTCCTTATGTGAACCTCTGCCTCCAGAAAAAGGTTCCTTGGATGAAAATCCCATACCGGGCTTTACTTTATCACTTCCCTCCAAATATGACCACTTCGAACTATTCCCACCAGCAACATCTGCAGAGGACCACCCAGACCTTAATTGCTTATTATCCTCAGGTGAAAATTCAGGATCAACTCTCAAATCCCACTTTGAAGAGCGCTTTTTGCCACTTCCACTCATCTCACCTTCAAAAACTGTAATGCTTCACTTTGACAAATGCAGTGTTCTGTGTATTAACAAACATATAAATCACAAGAATCCTAAGATCATATCCTCAATCTTCTACTATTTTTTTTTCTTCATTAAAGGACTACTATGTGCTAGGAGACATGAAAAAAATATATTATAAAGTAAATGAAAGATTTCCATTGTATTTAAAACAATAAGTACCAAGCTAGAGCACGTTAGTTCAGTTGACAGGGCATATATTGTACCAATGTGTTCAGTGGGAAGAATTTAATAAGAGTCCTAACCTAACTACAAACGAAACATTCAAGACATGTATAAGCGACCAATTTTCAACAGAAATGAATTAAAAGAAAAGAGGAATATAGAACAGGAGGATCCAAACCTACCATAAACAAGGAAAAGCAGAGAGAAGCATTAGTCCAAAGAAACAGAGAAGAAAACAGGCAAAACTATCTATCCCAAAAATGTTTAACAGAAACAGTTTTCATTAGTACAATCAAGTTCTACAGTCAAATCCACTTGATATGACTCGAATTAGGAAATTCTCCACAAGTTGCTTTAATATTTTCTTTCTATCTTCATAATAAAGATTACTGATAACAACATAATTTTTTGAGGATGTAGGGCATTGTCTTTTAAGCATTGGATTAAGACCTCTAAAATGTAATACGCAGATTGGATTAATGAATCAAAGGAACAGCCACAGAATTTTCTGCCAGCACCAAAAATGAAGATATAGTTGTTTTTTCAAATCACATAGTAGAATGTGCTTGGTATATATGAAAGGTAAGGGTGAAAATGAATTTATTTACAATTTTTTTCACATCAATATATATTGTCTCAGTCAAGCGGTACAATTGTTCCCAACCATTTTATCACCTTCAGTTTGAAAAGAAAATCGGGTTTTGATGTATAAATGTAATGCCAATGCTCCAAATCATTATAAATGGTAATCACAATTACAAATAGAATACTGTTACAAAACCACGTAAAGATTTTGTTAGAATACCCTCATAAAATTTGGTTTAATCCTCAGCTTGCTTTTGGAGTTGTTTTATGCTTAGCCAATTTCTAATATGGTGTCCCTGCATATCCATTCTCAACGTTAGGTCACCTGGAAATATCTAGTCATGCAAACTTTACACCGTAAATGTCCAATCTTGTGCATGACGACAGATGGGTGTATTAGAGTGTGTTTGATACACAGTGTGTACAAAACAAAAAGAACATCACAACATCTGTTCCATCCACAAGACAACTTACATGTTGTACATTGTTTGATGAACAATACATAGCACAAACGTACCAACATAAATTTACCAGCATTTTCTTTTTAATTTTTCACAGCATGTTTCGTATAGTATTGTACCATTCCAGTTGCCGTGTGACCTGGAGGTGCAATCTTAACATTTTTGTCTTTGCTCACCATCTGAAAGTCTAACTTCCACCAAATTTCTCTCCAATTTACTGCATGAGTCTATGCTTTCCCCCAGTTTACACACCTCCCTCATTCTCCAAACACATGCCAGGGACAAGATTCTTATACATATAGATATTCCCCATTTAAAACATCCAACATCAGCACCAAAGCTGGAAAACATGACATTTGTTCTCTGATTACGTCAAACCTTTCCAATTACATAAGAACAAAGAAAAGCCAAATGAAACCATTATAGCTTGGGGTCTATGCACTCCCCTCTCATTTAAACATCTCCCTTTTTCCCAATTGTTTGCAGGGAAGACAATTCTTATATAACATGAACTAATCTTACATTGGAATAAAAAAATGATTAAATTGTAAAATATAAGTGGGGTGTAAACTTTACATTATAATCCAGTTTTGTCCAGTTAAGTTAGGTCCAAATCCACTTTCTCCTATGGTATTGGAGCTTATCAAGCCATGTTTGTTGGGGCTATTATGTCACCCACTATCAAACCTTTATCGTGTCACTCATAAGTGGATTTGGAGCTAATTTCATCCCACAAAACTGATTTGTAAGATGATCTTTGTACTGCCCTTATATACTACAATTTACCCATATATTTAATTGATGTGAAATTTCTGACATACTCCCTCACATGAAAAATATGGATAATTTTCAACACATCCCTTCACGTCGAAGATATGGATGATCTGATAGTGGGTACAATAACCCAACATATAGGAGGTTGGTTGGTAAACTAATTTATCTTACTATATATGTTGGTTGGTAAACTAATTTATCTTACTATTACCAAACCGGATCTTTCTTATGCAGTTGGAGTAATTAGCCAATTCATGCAAAATCCTTGTATTGATCACTGGGATGTCTTGATTCGCATTCTGAGATATATTAAAGGGGCCCCACGACAAGGGTTGTTATATGAAGATAAAGGTAATACTCAAATTCTTGGTTATTGTGATGCAGATTGGGCTGGCTATCCAATTGATAGAAGATCAACTACTAGATATTATATCTTTATTGGATGAAATTTGATTTCTTGGAAGAGTAAAAAGCAAAGTGTTGTTGCTCGATCTAGTGCAGAAGCTGAGTATAGATCTATGACATTTGCTACATGTGAACTTGTGTGGATCAAACAATTCCTTCAAGATTTAAAATTTTGTGATATTGGGCAAATGAAGTTATTGTATGATAGTCTCCAACCCAACCTTTCACGAAAGAACAAAACATATTAAGATTGATTGTCATTTGTTAGAGAGAAGAAGTTGTTGTCTAAGGAACTTGTAACTGAATTTATAAGCTCCAATGAGCAACAGACAAATATTTTAACTAAATCTTTAAGAGGACTTAAGATTCAATTCATTTGTTTCAAGCTTGGTACATACAATTTATATGTTCCAGCTTGAAAGGGAGTGTTGAAATTTGTTATTTATGTATCTTTTAGTATTATTTTTCAATGTTCCTTAGACTACGGTTAAGGGTTTGGGTTGAGGCCCATATCCTCTCTATTGTACCCCATTTTCTATAAATACAATGTATCAATATCAAACCCTAAATAAATTTTCTCAAGTTCTTATATTTTAGTGAATCAACACAAGACATGTCTTATATTTGGCCAAAGATGTCCTTGTTAGATGAAAGTTAATCCTTCGCTCTTAAGACAGCTTTAGGAGTTGAATTAGGTCTAATCCAATACTTAAAATGTTACACTATAAAAGATTGTTTAAACCTTCATATTTTGCTTAAAAAATTATAAATTGGAGACAAGTTGTAGATATTTCTAGTCTTTGAATTTCAAACCTAATAAAAGCAAGAGCAATAAACTCTATTGTCCATCTTCTCCACCAACCACAGTGAAAATTAAAATTTGAACCTTTCACTCATCCTCTCAACTTTCACAACCTACTTACCAAGTTCAATTCAAGTAAGGTCCAAGCTAAAATCCAAAATTGGGAGATATATCATTTTGTTCAAAGCAAGAAAGAACTGAATTTGTAACCATAAATAGAGCAAATTTACTGACTCAACAGATCCACAGACAAGGCCTGGCAATAAAAGGCAACAAGAAAAGGCCTCATAGTATAATTGATCAATAATGCTAACCGTATTTACTATCTGATAATGTAAATAGGTTACTTGGTAAGTGGGATAATGATTAACTCTGTAAGTCCCACCATTTATATTGAATTAGTATGCAAAGATATTCAGGAAATTAAAATTAAAACTAGCCTGTGACTTTAAAAAATATTAATAGAGGGTGGGGCAAACATCTTTCCATTGAAGAGGAAGAAATCATAAGAAGGCTGATAGCTTTTTCATCCATGGAGGATAAAATATTAGTATTATTATCATTATTATACATGACCTATTACAAGCCCAGTGTATAGCTTTACAATCCATCTCATTTCCCCACATCTAATCAGATATAGATGTATATGGTCACAGATATTTGAAAAGAACCTTATAACTGCCAGACAAGGAATTTGGGGATGTATGCATTCCCAGATAACAAGAAATTAACAAGGAAGAAAATTTAAAGAGCAGTCATTGACGGTGGTGGTCAAAGGAAATGATATTAGGGATAATTGAAGATGTGGGAGACGTGTTGGGGTTGAATGAATATCCTATCAGGTCATGTCAAATCCTAAGGAAAGGATACACTTATATGGCTGCATTGAAAAAAAAAAATCCTCAACTATATTTGACTATCACTTTGATGTGTCAAACACCTATTTAGGCTCTATAATGTTTGCTTATACTATCAGCTCTTCCTTGTATAATATGTCAGACGCAGCCTAAGCATTTCTTAATGATTCATAAACCCTTTAGAAATGTTAACAGCCTGAAAGCCCAAATCAGATAGAGTTTTCTCGGTCATCTGTAACTTCCTGGTTCAATAATTAATGAGAACATCTACCAAATCCTCAAAATTGATGTCAAATCTATTTTAACAGATTCTAATCTTCAAACAGGCAAATAGAAGACTCTAACGCTTCCAAACAATCTTCCAGAGGCTATGTCTGTTCCAAAACCATACAGATGGAAATGGCATAGCATCTTTACAAAATTTAAAGGATTTCATCCATCTCGAAAATATTCAAAACACTCAACCATTGGCCACTCAAAAAGTTGATCAAAGCTACAATGTGTATTGCATTGATTTTCTTCAATGTTTGTTCTTGTTGTTAAATGGGCATTGATGTATCTAGTAAAACTTAATACATAAGGTAGAACATCCTTTTCCATTCTTGAACTAGTCAATGATTTATTTATTCCTCTGCTATCTCAGAATATATGAAAATTCCTCCCCTTCAAAATTATTCAATATTGAATTGGTTAGTGTGCTAAATATCTCATATTGCTCCTGTGGAAGGATCAAATGCCTTTGGAAACCCATTTACACCAGCTACTTTGACAGTTTGAATGAACTTGGTAACACCTCCACGCATTGATCACATGAAATTACTGCAGAAAAATTGTATCTAATATTAGCACTTGGAATAATGTACTCTTACTGAGACGCATAGAACACTAAAGCACATAGGAGACTCCCAACCCAACTACACAATTAACTACCTAATGTCTTGGATCTTTGCAATCCAACTAGCTCTATGGGTGAACACCTAAAAAACCTCTTGCCCTAGGGCTAGAAGAAGGTTCGAAAGATGTAATGGTACAGCAACGTGTAGAAGTGCCCAAATAAGTTTCTTTCCAATAACATCAATTAAATATATTTAAGGTAATTTTAGCATAAGAAATTAATTTCACACTATAGCCGAGGCAACGGCAGAAGGCTAAAATAGAAAACCATGATCAAGGCCTGTAGCCCAATACCAAAACCAAGTAAATCCTATCCAAAATCAATCACTAGAATGCTCGTTTCTTGCAATAAGATGGAAGAGAGACAACCAAGAAGATCGTCCAACACAAGATGATGCAATGATAAAAAGGTCCTTTTACGCATTTTTAGTCTAAAACAAAGTAGATATTTAGTGATTCCCCACTAAGAGAACATTAAGATTTAAGAATATACTGTCACCACAACTATAGTAATTCCCCGTTCTCATATCTCAAATTCTTTCAATGGCAAAGCGTAAGTCTAGAGTCCCTAACTAGTATACTGTCTTATTGCGTCAGAAATGTAGTGGTGTAGAGGCTTGCGCAGAACGAACCACATAAGGAAGTTACTCCAACACAGGAAGAGCGATTACCAGTATTGTAAGAGCTACAAAAGGGCCTAGTTATTTTGAGTGTTCTCCTATGTAATTTTTCTCTTAGTGTTTTTCCCCCTAACTGGTAATAGTTCTATACTTACTAGTAATAAAGGCTAGACAATTACAATTCCATTCTAGCTTCCGTTTCTGTTATGCTAGCCGGTAGTCATATCAGACACTCGGTAGTTTTGCGCACAAACGACATTGGTAACACTGTTAATCCTAACGTATATAAAAAAGAAAAGAAAAGAAAAGCAATATCCAATAGACCACATTCGAATTCAGGAACTAAGGCTCGAAAACCAAAGAAAAGCAACATAAACTAGGTTTCAAGCAGCTCCAAATTGAAATTACAGGAGACAAAATAAACCCTAAATAAGAAGCGGAAGGGCACAAGCATAGTAAGGTTGAGAGAAGACTCACGAGTAAGTGGTAAACAGAGCGTGGAGAGCGAAACCCTAGAGTGGGAGCTTGTGATTGTGCTGTGGCTAAGCTGCGAGAGAAAATGAGCTTCGTTTGGCTTCTTTTTCCCTGCAAATATCTGTGCGGGATTTGATATTTTCTATTTTTACCCCCTCTGTTTTTCGTTCGATTCTTACTTTCTCCTTTGTATACACTAATAGCAACTTGTCATCATATTGGTGAGTGTAGACCATTTTCTTTTGAGAATTTAATAATAAAGGAGTAACTTAGGTGTGTTTTATGTTATTATTAACTCGCTAGAATTAAAGTATTATTTCGGTAATTTGTATAATAAAAGAATTTTATCAAAATTATCACATAATAATTGTTTGAAACCATGAACTTAAAATTACAAAATTTAATGTATCTCAAACTTATTTACTTCATTTTTTC